ACACAATTGATGGATGTATGGATTGTGATAAGAGCTGTATGAGCCCCTAATAAAATGATTAAAAAATAAACAAGCGATAGAGTAAACAGGAGACTCATGTAGATGTGTAGAATACTATCAGTGCTATGGATACGTCGAAAGTGTTTCAGAGTTATGTGTCTGCAGTGTGTGTGTGTGTGTGTGTGTGTGTGTGATGGTGAGAAGACAAGAGCGGCTAAGGCAGAATGTGATTTTAAATGAAGATTCAGGGTAAAACTTGTTGGGAAGTTGATCTTTGAGCAATGGCTCGAGAAGGGGTGAGAGAATCAGCCCTGTGCGTGCCTTGCAGAAGGGAGCTGCAGGCAGCAGACCAACAGTGCTAAGGTGCCAGGGGAGGAGCAGCCTGGAGTGTCCTGGGAACAGCAAGACCAGTGAACGAAAAGACAGTGGGCAGTGGCGTCAGAAGCATCAAAGGAGGTGGTAGCACAGGTCACAGATAATTTGGCAGGCCCTTGTAGACTCCTCAGGTCTTTAGGTCGAAGAATCATTCTGGACCAATGGTTCTCAACCTTCCTAATGCCGTGACCCTCATGTTGTGGTGACCTCCCAACCATAAAGTTATTTTCATTGCTACTTCTTAACTGTCATTTTGCTACTGTTATGACTTGGGCGACCCCTGTGAAAGGGTTGTTCGACGCCCCCCAAAGGGGTCACGACACACAGGTTGAGAACCACTGTTCTAGACAGACGCATAGCATGATTTGAATGAAACTTTTAGATGATCACTCTAGTTTGCTAGGTTGGGGACATATTAACAGGGAGTTGCAAGTTGGGAGACCTTTTAGTAGGTTTTTTGCAGCGATCCAGTTAGAGGGTGATGGTAACTTGGCCCAATTTGTAACAGAGGAAGTGGGGAGAAGAGAAGGATGATGGTTGTATTTTGAAGGTAGAGTTGACAGATTTTCTGAATGGCTGGGAGGCGAGTTGTGAGAAAAAGAGGGGTGGAGGATGACTTCAATATATCTCTTTCAGGTGAGCAAGCTGACTAAGGCATTGCTGTCAGCGGAGAGGGGAGCACCGTGCGTGGAGCGTGCTCGATGGGGTCAGTTGTTGCTGTGAGGGTCATCAAGTCAGTTCTGAGAGTACAACAAACCCTACGCACAACAGAATCAAAGGTCGCCCCGTCCCGTGCTGTCCTCGTGGGGTCAGTTAGGCACTCACTTTTGGCCACCTGGAGGTTGAGCTGTCTCTTGGACATCCAAGGGGGAATGCCAAGTAGGTGGTTAGATGACTTGGTGGTCATTGCCTAGGTGAACATGGCTGGAAGGATCTTTCAAAGCCACACAGGTTGGATAGGCTAGGACCCAACCCAAAGCATACCTATGTTCTGTCCTATCCTAAGGGGTGGTGACTCTGGAGCACTTAGTCAGATGCACCACAACTTGACCGTCCCTTTGTTGTAGTGCGGTGGCTCTTGTTTTTCTACGAAGCTAGAAGCTATGTCACTGGTATGTCAAATGCCACCAGGGTTGCCCAACGTGGACAGGTTTTAGCCGTTTCCAGACAAAGAACTGACCTCAATGAAGGAACAGGCTGTCCACGCCTGAGAAATTAGGCACTGAAAGATAGGCATGGCATCAGAACCATTGTCAGATACTGGAAACTTCAGGAAGAGAAGCAGAAAATTGGTTGAGCTCCTGACGTCAGAAGGTCCTCCCCTATGACTGAGGAAGAGCTATCTTCTCAAAGGAGAGCCATAATGACAGGGATGGAGTCCAGCCGTTGAGAGCGTCTTTGTGGAAGGGGCACAGCTGACAATGAGAAGAAACAGCTGCAAACATCTATTAAAAATTGGAACTTGGAACGCACAAAGTATGAGTTTGGGAAATTGTTATTGTTAGGTTGTTAGGGACCATGGAGTGGGTTCTGACCCCACAGTGACCCTATGCACAACAGAACAAAACACTGCCCGGGTCTTTGCCATCCTCACAATTGGGCCCATTGTTGTAGCTGCGGCCTCAGTCCATCGCATTGAGGACTTTTCTCTTTCTCGCCGCCCCTCCACTTTACCAAGCATCATGTCCTTCTCCAGGTGCTGGTCTCTCCTGGCAACATGTCCAAAGTACGTGAGATGTAGTCTTGCCGTCCTTGCCTCTAAAGAGCACTCTGGCCTTACTTCTTCCAAGACAGACTTGTTTGTCCTTCTAGCAGTTGACGGCGCTGTCAATATGCTTTGCTAGCACCTCCCTTCAAATGCATCAGCTCTTCTCCGGTATTCCTCACTCAACGTCCAGTTTTCACATGCATAGTGAAGTGATTGAAAATACTATGCCTTGGGTCAGGTAAATTATAAGTCACCAAAAAATGTAATGAAATGCTTAAAAATCGATATCCTGGGCATTCTTGAACTTCAATGGGCTGGCATTGGCTGTTTTGAATCAGAAAACCAAATGGTTTGCTATGCTGGAAATGACAGATTCAAGAGCAATGGGTGCTGCATTCATCATCAAAAAGGACATTTCAAGACCTGTGTTGAAGCACAATGCTGGAAATGATAAGATAATATCTACCCCCATAGGAGGAAATCCAGTCAATACAACTATTATTTGTATTTGTGCATCAGACACTAGTGATGCTGAAAATGAAGAATTTCACTCACCTATTCAGTCTGACATTGATGAAAAATGCAATCAGAACCCAGTGATAACTCTTGGCAATTGGAATGCACAAGTTGAAAACAAAAAGGAAGGAACAGTAGTTGGAAAATGGCCTTGGTGATAGAAATGAAGCCAGACATTGCGTGATAGAGGATTGCAAGCTCAGTGACTTCCCGATGGACCAATTTTTTCAACAACATCAACGGTGCCTATATTTATGGACTTCCCCAGATGGAATATACAGAAATCAAATTGATGACATGTGTCTGAGGAGAAGATGGATGAGGTAGTTAGTTTATTGTGCCAACCTGGCCGATAAACACATGTGGGGTTAATTGAAGGGCGGAGGGATAAATGGCTCAGTG